CCAAGACGATGGTGGTAAAGAATGGTTGGATCGGTGAGCTGACGGCAGGAGCACGATGATGTGGTGGAGGTAGAGTGTGCTTCTGTGGAAGATGGAGGTACTTGGAGTGTGTAGAGGTTGTTGGCGGTCAGTGTGAAGCGTGCAAGTAGGGCATTGGTGGTGGGCTGAAGGAGATCACAGTGATTGGAATGAGCTGGGAAGATAGTGGTTACCCCTGCTCGTTGAATCTCATGTTGTGCAAGTAAGTTGTGCCGAAGAGTGGGCACGCATATGCCAGTGACTGTGCCAGATGGGAAGGCTGGGCATGGAAGAGTGGAGGAACCATGGGCGACAGTTGTGAAGCTGGAGTCAGCGCCCAGAAGAGGAATGGGTGCTTGGTATGGTTTGAAAGACTCTTTGTCTCGGAGGACTGTGTGGGTTGCGCCACTGTCCAGGACGAATTCAAGCGGTTTAGATGGTGTTTGTGGAGACGTCGAGTACTGGGAACTGGTTTCATTGATCATGGGAAGGCCAGGGAACAACAGGTTGAGACGAACATCAGGACTAGGGGCATGAACGGCTGAGTCATGAGTATCCTGTGCCTCAACCTGGTTGAGCTGGCGCATGCGAAGCCAGTTGGGCGGCTTGGAGTTGATACCATTCTTGGCGAACCAGTCGTCGTCCTTCTTTTTGAAACAGGTGGCGAGCGGGTGATTGGTGCCGCCGCACACCTGACCCGCACGGGGTCCCATTTTGATGACGTAAGGACAGGGTGGGTAGCGGTTACGAGTGGGTGGCGGATTGGGACGCGATGCTGGAGCCGGGACAGGAGCGCGAAGCGCATTTGCACGAGCTTGCGCAGTGTTGTCTTTTTCAGCAGAGAGAAGTGCGGAAGAGACTTTGGCAAAGGTTAGCTCTTCTGGCGGGAGATGGAGAAGCATGGAGCGGGTGACATTGTAAGAGGGGGTCAGCCCAACAAGCAGAGCTGCTGCAGGGGCTTGCTCTGGGAAGACAATGCCGAGTTGCTTCAGCTCCTGATGAATCCCTTGAATTTCAGCGACGTAAACTGCCATTCCAGGGCACTCCTCCAGACGCACTTGAAACATGCGGGGGATGAGGATCGCCATCCCCACAGCGGTTTTGTTGAGGAAGCGGTCGTTGAGGTACTCCCAGATGGCGTGCGCGGAGGGGTAGTTATGGTAAGTTTTGACGAGCTCGGAAGGGGTAGTGCCGACGAAGACGCCAATGATAGCGGCGTCGGCTTGCTCCCACACGCTGTAAGATTCCTCATACTTGGACATGGATTCCTCATGGGTTTTTAACTCTTCCCCTGTGGCTGTGGCCGAGAGCTTCTTGGGAAGGATCGGCATCTTTCCTTTGCCGCGATTGAGGAGGACATCCTTGAGGCAAATCCCCTCAATTTTGCGGCTTAGGAGATGCTTATCAACCCCATAGCTCCACTCCTTGAAGTTCGGGCTCGAGCCATTTGGGTCGAGGCGCAAGGGAGTGATCGGGTTTGAGAGAGACGCGGAGGGATACGCCATGATGCTCCAAGGACCCTTTCTCCGCGCGTAGCGCAGCTCTTAAGTCGCCGATTCGGAGCAGCGCGGGCTCCGCGAAAAACAGGGTTTCCCTTTGCGGATTTTCAACACTCGGAGAAGAGGAATAGCCGATAAAGAGGGAAATCTGAACGCCAAAAATCTATGGAAACCCGCGATGTGCTGCTGCAATCCCGCTGCTCCGCGACCCCCCCTTTTCCGCTTCGCCGCTGCCCCCTTTCCGCTTCGCCGCTGCCCCCTTTCCGCTTCGCCGCTGCACCCCCCCGCTGTTGCAAGGGCGACGGGCGACAGCCCGTCCAGCTTCGACGAGCAGATGCGGGGCGACGGGCTCAGCCCGATCAGGTGCGACGAGCAGATGCAGGGCGACGGGCTCAGCCCGATCAGGTGCGACGAGCAGATGCGGGGCGACGGGCTCAGCCCGATCAGGTGCGACGAGCAGATGCGGGGCGACGGGCTCAGCCCGATCAGGTGCGACGAGCAGATGCGGGGCGACGGGCTCAGCCCGATCAGGTGCGACGAGCAGATGCGGGGCGACGGGCGTCAGCCCAAAAAGAAGCGCCGCGCTGAGTTGAGGCGACTAGAAAAGCTTTGCGTCGTAAGACGCAAATGCTAGGCTCCAACGGAGCGAGAGGATCAAGAGCCGCTTAGGCGGAAACGAGCTCTGATACCATATCAGAAACTGAGAACTTGATTGATTGAAATGAGCAAGAGCATACATCCTTAAGTACCGAGCATCGGAGAGGATGGGAAGGGATAAGGGAGAATCGGAGGGAATCCCAAGGGAATCCTCCCAAATCGTGGGGATTTGGGATGGATTGGGTTGGGATAGGTTGGGGATGAAAACATAGCTACACCCAACCTAACAAATATGAGTATCCCTAAAACCAACAAAGTGTCAACACACAAAATTGTGCCAACCGAATTGCAGCCTATCTCTAACAGTAGTGAGGGGAGAGGCAGTGAGGGGAGAGTAGGCTTGAGCATTAACCCGACCCGACCCGACCCGACCCGACTTTGCCTAACCCGAGGTCGGGTTCGGGTCGGGTCGGGTCGGGTCAGGTCGGGTCGATCTTAGGATTTTGCCGACCCGACCCGACCATAGCTGGTCGGGTCATCTCCTACCCGCAGTCGGGTCGGGTTGATGCGACCCGACCCGACCCGACTTGACCCGACCTAACTAGAAGCTATTTTTTTCCCAGGGGGGAACAGCTGGATTTCGTAATTTCAAGATCCAGTAGTCCTCCTCGTGTCTCCTAGCCCACCCACCTCATCCCCCCGCAACCTCGACAAGTGGTTTTGGGCGCTGGCGAAGTATTGGTTAGGTTGGAGGATGTTGACGAAAACCAGTGACGGAATGAATGGGTGTTGACGATTTTTTCGTTGGTTTGGGGGCGTGGCGAAAGATTGGTTGGCTTGGGGGTGTTGGCGAGCTTTTGGTTTGGTTGCGGGTGTTGGCGAAAATTCGGGTGGTTTCGGCGTGTTGGCGAAAATTGTTTGGTTTGGGGGTGTTGGCGAAAATTGGTTGGGTTGGGGGTGTTGGCGAAAAGTTGGTTTGGTTGGGCGTTGGGCGAAAATTGGTTGGGTTGGGGGTGTTGGCGAAAAGTTGGTTTGGTTGGGCGTTGGGCGAAAATTGGTTGGGTTGGGGGTGTTGGCGAAAAGTTGGTTTGGTTGGGCATTGGGCGAAAATTGGTTGGGTTGGGGGTGTTGGCGAAAATTGGTTGGGTTGGTGGTGGTGTCGACGAGCTTTGTTGGTTGAGTCGATCCAATAGAAATCGATCTGGGTCTGTTTAGACCCTAAGCTATACCAATAAGCATGGTGGGGAGTAGATTAGTGTTAGGAATGAGCTGGATGGAGGGTAAAAATGGGAGGAAGCCTAAGTAGGATCTGGAAAATGGACCATCTGGTCGAAAATTCGACCAAACCGTCAGACTTTCCAGATCTGCGCAACTCAGGTCGCCCAGATTGCGTCGGGTCGAGGCGCGGCCCGACTTCGGGTCGGGTTGGGTCGGGTCAACCCGACGATGTATACCCGAAGTCGGGTCGGGTCAACCCGACATGTCGGGTTCACCCGAACCCGTCCATGTCGGGTTCGGGTTGACCCGACCCGACGGGTAAAAATCAAACCCGACGGGTCGGGTTCTTCCGACGGGAAACCTGACCCGACCCGTCAAAAAGTCGGGTTCGGGTCGGGTTACCCGGCCCGACCCGACCCGTTGCTCAAGCCTAGGGGAGAGGCAGTGAGGGGAGAGGCATGAGGGGAGAGGCAGTGAGGGGAGAGGCATTGAGGGGAGAGGCAGTGAGGGGAGAGGCAGTGAGGGGAGAGGCAGTGAGGGGAGAGGCAGTGAGGGGAGAGGCATGAGGGGAGAGGCAGTGAGGGGAGCAGCAGTGAGGGGAGAGGCAGTGAGGGGAGAGGAAGTGAGGGGAGAGGCAGTGAGGGGAGAGGCAGTGAGGGGAGAGGCAGTGAGGGGAGAGGCAGTGAGGGGAGAGGCATGAGGGGAGAAGCAGTGAGGGGAGAGGCAGTGAGGGGAGAGGCAGTGAGGGGAGAGGCAGTGAGGGGAGAAGCAGTGAGGGGAGAGGCAGTGAGGGGAGAAGCAGTGAGGGGAGAGGCAGTGAGGGGAGAAGCAGTGAGGGGAGAGGCGCAGCGACCAGGAGAGCTGCGGGCGCGAGGGCGAGGAGAAGGAAAGAGGAGAGGTGTATTGGGAGAGGGGAAGGGGGAGAGGGGTAGGGGGAGAGGGGTAGGGGGAGAGGGGTAGGGGGAGAGGGGTAGGGGGAGAGGGGTAGGGGGAGAGGGGTAGGGGGAGAGGGGTAGGGGGAGAGTGGGCGAAGGTGAGAGGAAGAACTTACCTCCTGCTGGGGAAACAGGGAGCATGGGAGGGGTTGGTGTGGAATGAGGGAGGAGGGAGCGCCTCTGGGATGCGCTGAGAGTCCGCACAACACAAGTGAAAGAATGGAGGTCGGAGATGTGCCTGCGAGAGGAGGGAAGGTGTTACCTGCCAGAGGGGAAGCGGAGGTGACCTGCGAGAGGGGGAGGAGAGGTGTTACCTGCGAGAGGGGAGGAGGAGGTGTGACCTGCGAGAGGGGAGGAGGAGGTGTTACCTGCGAGAGGGGAGAGGAGGAGGTGCTACCTGCGAGAGGGAGGGAGGAGGTGTTACCTGCGAGAGGGGAGGAGGGGGTGTTACCTGCGAGAGGGGGAGGGGAGGCATTACCTGCGAGAGGGGAAGGGGAGATGTTACCTGCGAGAGGGGAGGAGGAGGTGTTACCTGCGAGAGGGTGTCAACGAGTCGGATGGGGCGGGACTTCATGGCCTTGATTCGATCGGCAGGCGTGCGCACGAGCAGCGAGTTCTGCAGGGCGACGGAGAGGCACAAGGGAACAGGGGAGTGGGGAGTCTCGAGCTGTCCCAATGGTCACCCAGCTGTCCCAATGGTCACCCAGCTGTCCCAATGGTCACCGAGAGACCCCTCATGGCCTTGATTCTGTTGCCAGGCGTGTGCCAGAGGAGCGAGTTCTGCAGGGCGGGGGGAAAAAAAGGGGAGAGCAGTATGGGGGAGTGGACACTCAAGAGCTGCCTCAGGCGCGCGCACGAGGAGAGAGCTCTGCATGGCGGGGGGAAGGGGGGGAAGGCCAGGGATACAACGGACGGAGTGTGGTGTGAGAAGGAGAAGGTGATGGGCGAGCAGTGGCTGAAACGAAGGCGGTGAGTGAAACGAAGGAGGGGGAGGGGGAGGAGGAGGAGGGAGAGGAGGAGGAGGAGGAGGAGGAGGAGGAGGAGGAGGAGGAGGAGGAGGAGGAGGAGGAGGAGGAGGAGGAGGAGGAGGAGGAGGAGGAGGAGGAGGAGGAGGAGGAGGAGGAGGAGGAGGAGGAGGAGGAGGAGGAGGAGGGAGGGGAGGAGGGCACGCACACCTTGATTTGGAAGAGCACGAGGTACCAGGTCTGCAGGGCCTCGCCCGCCATGCCGACCCACCCATCCACCATGGTGAACGTCATGAAGAACGTCGCCTTCATGGGGATGCGCTCGCCCAGGATCTGGGGAATGCTGCGGGTGGCGGGGCAGGGGGGGGCGGGGGAGAGAGAGATATGAGGGGCGAGGGGCTGGGGGGGGGGGGGTGGGATGGAAAAAGATATGAGGGAGGGCGGGGCGCGCGGAGGTGTCATGAGAGAAAGATTTGAGGGCGGAAGGTGGCGAGGAATGTGGTGAGGAATGTGGCGAGGAAGGTGGCGAGGAAGGTGACGAGGAAGGTGACGAGGAAGGTGACAAGGAAGGTGATGAGGAAGGTGGCGAGGAAGGTGGCGAGGAAGGTGACGAGGAAGGTGACGAGGAAGGTGACGAGGAAGGTGACGAGGAATGTGACGAGGAAGGTGACGAGGAATGTGGGATGCGGTGGCCCAGGATGTGCGGGATTCTGGGGGCAATAGGGGGACGCTGACTGTACGGCGGGTGGGCGAGGGTAGAACCCCAAGCCTGACATGAAAGCTCAGATACGGTGTAAGTTATAAATCCAGAACCCTAAACCAGAAGCCGTCCATCACGTGTGTGGCAGAGCTGGTAGCGATGACTGGCCAGAAGAAGTTGCCGGTGGCTGCCAGGTGACTCAGGAGTGAGCTACAAGCCGCGTGAGCTGCAAGCCTTGAGAGGCAACAAAGAGCCCTACGCCAGTCATGTGAGGCGCACCTCAGAGTATGCTGTGAGAGGCGGAGAGCAACACAGCACGCTGCCCATCACACGGTGGTGACCAACACGGTGCGCAAAAGGAGTGAGAGCGAGGAGCCGCAGAGGAAGCCCTGAACCGTGGGAGCCGGCACTCACCCCTCAGCCGTACCTCATCGTGTGCTCTGACAGGTCATAAGTTGCCGCGAGCAGCGCCCCCCCCATGACGTTGGTGACGAAGACGGTGCCGACGATGAACCAGAAGAACTTGCCGGTGGCCGCCAGGTCGATCTGCGAGTAGCTCACGTGGCCCTCGAGCGAGGAGAGGAAGATGAGGAGGTAGGGCAGCACGGCGATGAACACCTTCAGCGCCAGGCCGGACAGGAAGTCCGTGAAGAACGCGTTCACGAAGGGGCTGGGTGGCAGAGGAGGGGAGGGGGGGGGAGGAAGGGGAGAGGGGGGGTTGAGGGAAAGGGAGGAAGGAGAGGGGGAGTTGAACGGGAGATGAGGAGGCGGGGCGGCACGGCGATGAGGACGTTGAGAGGCAGCCACGAGGGGCAGCCACGAGGGGCAGCCACGAGGGGCAGCCACGAGGGGCAGCCACGAGGGGCAGCCACGAGGGGCAGTCGGGGAAAACCCGAAGGGCTGGTGGGGGGGGTGGGGGAGGGGGGGAGGGTAAAAATAATTGGGGCCACAGGCAGCAGTGCAGCCCTTACTGTGATTTGCAGTGCAGGGCCAGTGCAGACGAACAGCATTGGCATGGGCACACAGGACTGACATGTCAATGAGGGGGTTGAGTCACTCACATGTGGATGAGGGGATTGAGCCACTCACATGTGGATGGGGGGCTTGAGCCACTCACATGTAGATGAGGGGGGTGAGCCACTCACATGCGGATGAGGGGGGTGAGCCAGGGCATGGAGCGGCTGATGTTGTCGAGGTTGGCGAGCGACTGCACGAAGCCGATGGGGATGGTGTAGAAGAAGACGATGCCCACCACCACCGCCACGATGATCAGCCGCCGCAGCGCCAGCTGCTCGTGCGGCACGGGCAGGTTGGCCCACTTGACGTCGCGCTGCTCCGGCGCCCACTGTGTGCTCCACTGCGAGCTGTCCTTGCACTGCAGCGTCTGTGCCGCCACCGCCGCGCCCCACCGCGACGAGAAGGACACGAAGGCCGCCGGCATGGTGCGGGCCGGGTCCTTGATCACGCGGTCGCGCTCCGTGAGGATCTGGGAGTGGGAGAGGGGAGGGGCAGGTGAAGGACGCGCCGAGGAGCTGGTAGGCTGGCCCTTCTCTCGTACTCAACCCTTGTGCTGATCCCACAGTGGTGCCCCCTGACACTCCCCACTCTCCCACACTCCATTCTTTGAGTGCCTTCCACTTTTACCTCACGTCCATTTGAACAGCGTGCACTTGTTCGTGGTCGAACTAAATCACACTGTGAGGCGCCTCAAGAACATAGACGCACCTTCCCTCACTTCCATACACATGCCCTCACCTCCATACAAATGTCTTCCACTTTATCCTGGTAGTATTGAATCGCGTCCACCTTCTCGCCAAACAGCCCCAGGAACCCCGACTGCCCATGCGCGCACCAGGGAGGAAGAATGTGGGGAGAAAGTGAGTGGGGGGGGAGAGCTGCGGCTGGTACAGTACGAAAGGAGGAGGCACTCGATTTGGCTCAATAACACCTCACCCGACTGACGGACATGTGTAGCGTGAAGTGAAGGGGAGACGTCATAGCAGTGTGCCATGTGAACATTCTGTGATGTGCCAGGGCATGCGCTGCTATGTGAGAGGCCGAGTGAGCGGCCATCATCTCACCCTCACTCTCCCTCACACCTGCTCTCGTCTCTGCTCTCACCCACTCTCTGACCTCATGCTGCCCCCGTGCTGCCCCCGTGCTGCCCCCGTGCTGCCTCCGTGCTGCCCCCGTGCTACCCCCGTGTTGCCTCCGTGCTGCCCCCGTGCCGCCCCCGTGACGCCCCCATGCTGCCCTCTTGCTAGCGTTATCTCAACCGGGTGGCGAGCTTCTTCTTGGGGAACCACTCCCACTTGATCTCCAGCTTCCCCCCTCTTCTTCTGCTCATCCCCCCTCACTCCTGTTCACACCTCACCGCAACCCTCATTTTCACCTCTCCCTCACCCTCTCCCTCACCATCTCCCTCACCATCTCCCCCATCTCACCCGGGTGGTGAGCTTCCTCCTGGGGTGGCGCTCCCGCTTGATCTCCAGCTCGATCAGCTTGTTCTCCAGCTTCCCCCGCTTCTTCTCCAGCCGCGCCACCTTGTTCGCGTTGTACACTGGCTGGGGGGCCAACGTCAACAGGGGGGGCTGTGATGAGCTTCAAGAAGCTCATCGGTGGTAGGGGCAATGCAGTGGGGGACAGGCAGGGCCAAAAGCACAGCACTCTCTCTGTGTGGTGCTGTTCGGTTCATTGCACGTAGTGCAAGGCGTGCAGTTTTGATGTTGGGCAAACCGTGCTTGAGATGTGACCTTAGAAAGGAGCACGTAAGGGACGGGAACGCTGGCATTGCACAATCGAAAAAAGGGGTTACACCACCCACCCCACCCCCCAACCCCCCCACCCCCTCCCCTTGCCCCCCCCCACCCCCCCCCCGAAAGATGAAGGACGTCCACAAGTGAGACTGACTGACCTGAGTGAGCAGGTAATGGTCGCGGTGGTTGACTGAAAAGAAGTGGTCAACATTCTCAGCCACTGTCTTGATCGGGTGCTTGGGCACTTGCCGCACCAGCACCTGCGCGATAGCGGACAGCGAAAAGGGATCGGAGTATTACCCACTGGACCCCCTCCCCATGCCTGCCCTCCTGCATGTCTTCAAGCCCGCACTCGGGGACAATTAGGGTGCCCCAGCTCGGGTTGCTAGGATGCCTCTTGTACGTGCGTTTTGCTTACCGCGCTTGTACCCTTGCTACCTAATACAAAGGAGCAATTGAATACTAGAGTAAAGAAGGCGCGAAGAAACTCCAATGGCACGATGCAACGTTGAAGGCTCTCCTCTGGTCCTACTGTGAGGGGCTCTCCTCTGCTCTCACAGTGAACTGGTTGGGGGCTCTCTTCTGGTCGGCGAGGAAGTTGAGGCGCATGTCAGCGACGGTGCGGTGCTCCTCGCGCATCATGTACAGCGCCCACATGTTGAACAGCCATGCCATGGACACGTGCACCCACAGCCTGCACGCCATGCATAGTGCAGAGAGGAGCACGAGTGAAGGAGAGGGGAGGTGGAGGAGGGCACATTGCGTACATCATGTACACGATGGTTGGAGATGCATGAGATGAGGGACTGGGAGGTTGTTCGGGATGGAGGGACATGTCGATGCACTGGTGTGTGGGGCGTGCATGACAGGACGGGGAAGGGGAGAGGAATGCTGGCAGTGCTATAGGCGGGGAATGACGGTAACTTTTGACTCGACTCTAAAGGTTGCCAGTGCTATATGCGGGGGATTACGGCAACTTGTGAGTCGACCCGTCTCTAAAGGTTGCCCGTACTCACAGGCGGGACTCATTGGGGATGTTGGCGATGGAGAGGCGGTCGATGTCCTCGTACGTGAAGTCCGGGTTGCTCTGCGCCTGCTGCTGCAGCCAGTCGCCCATGTAGTTCACCGGCAGCAGCACCGCCCCCGCCACTATCAATATCGGGCCGAAGATCTTGAAGCTGTCCGGAGGGAGGAGCAGGGGGGGATGAGAAGTGGCATGGGCCAAGTAGCAGGGAGGGAGAGTGGGTAGTCGTGTGATTCACAAGCAGCAGCACTGGCGCACAAGCAAGTAGTTCACAGTGAGCAGAACTGCTGCTGCCACTAGCAGTATGGGTGGTGTAAAGGGTGTGGGTGGGGGTTGCATTGAATCATACCCCAGGCAACGAGTGAAGCAGTGCAAACCACCCCGGGTGGAGCGCAGTGCAACCCATCCCGGGTGGAGCGCGACGCAGTGCAACCCACCCCAGTTTGAGAGTATGCAGAAAGACGACGTTGTCCAGCCCCGCATGGGCGATGAGCTCACGCTCCGGCAGGGCGAGCGCGACCTGCACCCAGGAGAAGGCGCGGCGGTACTTCTTCAGCGACAGCTCCAACCACTGCCGCTTCTTCACCATGTTGCCCTTCATCTTCAGCTTCTCGTACTTCTCCGACGCTTCCTGGAGCAGAGGGAAGGGGGTGGGTGGCATGATGAGGAGGGGGGGGGTGGGGAAGGGAGGATGGGGATGTGGGGGAGAATTTGGTGCTGCTGGGTCAACTGACCACATGTTGCCTCTCATCGTCAGCTTCTCCTACGTCTCACTCGCCTCCTGGAAGGGGGGAGGTCAGAACATGGGATTGAGCTGGGGCGTCTCTAAAATCGACCATGTTGCCCTTCATCTTCAGCTTCCCATACTTCTCGCACGGTTCCTGGAGCAGAAGGGGATATGCACGATGTGGGGGGGGGGGAGAGGGGAGGATGGGGATGTGGGAGAAAATTAGGCGCTTCTTGCACTTCCCTGATGCCGGTTGGAAGGAAGTAGAGGGGTTGGCACATGTGTGAAGGGAACAGAGAGGAGATTGGGGATATGGCAAAGGTTGTCGTGTGGCGCCTGAAGCAGAGGGGATGATGATGAGGGCGGGAGGGAGGGCGGAGCTGAAATGGCACGGAGGAATGGGCGTTGGTGGCGAGGTGAGGAAGGGGCCAGCAGGAAAAAGGCGTAGGGGGTTGAGGGTTCCGGGTGAGGGGGATAAAGAGAGGTGGTTTGCGGATGGTTCTGAAGGGGCTGGAGGGAGGAGATGGCAGGGGTTGATCGAAGTGGTGATGTGGCAACGTGTGTCACAGTCTGTCAATCAGTCAATGCGTGTGAATGCGTGTCGTGTGGCACTGGCACTGTGTGGATGTGTGTCAATGTGGCAAGGCAACGTGTCTTTGAGTGAATGTGTACAGTTACATTCACATTCACTCAATTACAGAGCACACAGAAATAGAGATAGACTCTACATAAGGCGCGCACGCGGAGAGGGGGGGAGGAGCGAGTTGCCTGGGCAGCAGCAGGCAGGGGAGGGTGCGATGCTGGTGGGGTCAGCGAGATACACGAGGGTTCCTTCAGTCGACTCGGGGAGGAGCTTCTTCCAGCATGGGGGACGCGCGGAGAGAGCCAAAAGGAGACCATAGGACATGCCACGTAAAGGTGAGCGGATTTCCCCCTTAAGTGTCACGAGGCCCAGCTAAAAGACCCCCTTCTAAGTGAAGCTTTTTCAATGCGACGCGTGTGCGAGGGCTGTAAATGCACCTGGCCGGTAATCGACAACCATTTGGTGAAGCAGTCGCGCGCGTTGAGCGGTTGCTTGGAGAATGGTGTAGAGCACGACCGTTCATGCGAGACAGGTGCCACGCACTCGTCTGAGAGCGTTCAACGCAGCCGTGTGAGACGGCTGTGAGCAGACGAATCAGCGCACCTGTGTGCGTCGAGGGTTGTAGGTGGCGCACCTGGTCGTTGATGGAGAACCACTTGGTGAAGTAGACGCGCGCGTTGAGCGGCTGCTTGGAGAGGATGGTGTAGAGCACGATCATGGCGGCGAAGATGCTCAAGTTGATCGCGCACGAGTACCCCAGGTCGGCGAATGTGCTGCCCATGGCGCTGATTAAGTTAAGGCGAATGCCTGGAACGAACAGGCGCGAGAACAGGTGCGAGAATGCAGAGGCGTATTCTAGGCGAGGAGGGCAAATGCTGATCGCGCACGAGTACCCTAGGTGGCTGAACGCGCTGCTCGCGCCGGCTAACAGGACCGCCTAGAAAGAACAGGCCTGGAAGGAACAGGCCTAGAAAGAACGGGTGCGTATTTGCGGGGACTTATTCTAGGCGAAGACGCGAAATGCTGATCGCGTACGAGCAATTTAGGAAGCCGAACGTGCCACCCATGGCGCTGGCTGCGAGGGGCGCCTAGAAAGATCGAGTGCGTGAATTGCTCGGCTTATAAACAGAGCATCATCATGCTGGGACCTCTAAAGCGGTCCCCGGCAGAGCGGCGATATCACTGGGGTAAGCTTCGGCCTGCTTTGCTACTATAAACAAGTGCTGCGAGCTGCTTGCCGGGAAGCCTGCCCAACTTCGAGCACAATTGGCACCACTGCTAGAAAGAGCAGCGGGAAGTGGGCGAAGCAACTTCAGAATTGCAGCACTGCTGCTGGGTGTGTGCTGAGCTGCGCTGACTGACCTTGATGACTCCACTCCGCCCCTCTCATTTGCTGCAGGCTTCTCAAGCTTGCGGCGCTCCTCCCCTCTCGAGCTTGCTGCGCCTCATTGAGGGGCAAAGGGGAGAGCCAATTACAGTAGGGTTACAGATCGCTGGTGGTCGCGCTAAAAATACGCGCTGTTATCCAATGCGTGTTGGGAGGGATTTTGGGTTTCGTAGCAACCCTATAAAATCGGTTTCACATTTCGGAGCATTGATACGAACAGTATTTTTTTTAAGAATTTAGTTAACTGTTCGGTGCAACTCCAAAATATGAATCCAAATGTCCAAAGTGCTCCATCGCGTCGATAACTACGGTGGATGGAACAATCAAACCGCTTGACACATTTCAACAAAATTTTATGTATAATTAGACATCTTGTAGGATTGCAAATGCCAAGAAACGAGTGTATGTAGGCATTAGTAGTGTTGCAATAGAGATTGATGGGGTGCACGATGACAGCAGAGCTGCCCCGGACACGATGACAATCTCTAATTGCAACACCTAGCATAAAAGCAGCACGTTCGAAGCAAACACAATCCAAATACACCTCGTGCCAGCCACCCCATCTCGTCGATAAATACGGTGAATGGAATGAACATGTATGTATGATAGGATTGTGAGTGCTGCGAAACGATTGCATATATGTGTCAATGCTGCAACAGAGATTGATGGGGTGCGCGATGACAACAGAGTTGCCTTAGGCACGATGACAACCTCTAATTGCAACACCTTGCATACAAGCAGCACATCCGAAGCAGACACATATCACATTTGCAGCCACACGCACTATGCACAGAGACTAAGAGCAGTAGACACCCCGAAACAGACCATATTTGTCAAACCCATGCACACCCCTCATGCAAACAACAATCAAGCAGACACATGCAGCATCGCAAACAGGGCTGACTTTATCAGACTATTTACTCTGATTAGTCTGAAATCTCAGACCTGTTTTTTGGCCAAACCTGAATTTCCAGATAAGGCATTTTCCCAATCCTGATCCCTTCAGAGTACGATTCTAGGGATCCTGAGAAAATCAGAGTTGTCGCTAACCCAGTACTGAGTTTTCAGAGCACAGCGCGTACAGACCCTGACTCATTACCTGTACAGTACCAACCTTCGAAAAATTTGGTGAAGTCCCCAATCGCTAGAGACATGCCCCACACACCCCACAACCCCTAAAAATTTTCGGCCAAGTCCCCGAACCCTAGAGACAACCCCCACCCCACATCCCACACCCCACAACCCATCTAAAATTTCGGCGAAGTCCCGGAACGCTAGAGACATCCCCCACACACTCCACAACCCACCCTAAATTTCGACTTAGTCATGTTGTCAGATACAGTCCTCCCTAACACCTGGAACAACCCAGAAGTTTTGAATGAGACTTTCACTTTTTTTTGAACTGCATTGAAATGAGAGTAAATTCCGCATTTTTAACATAGGGAAATTCTCGCCAGTTGCCCGTTTGGTCAACTGAAAGTCTAACAAAATGTAACGGTCACGATCGTTTGCGATCGTTTCGACGTATATCAATCGTTCAATGTTATATAGCGATTAACGTCCAAGATTTCCCAACCGGGGCGCTGCAAGGGCGCGAAATTTCTCCCACCCTCCTATTCCCCAGCTTCCCCCCTCCCTGCCGTTTCGATTCCCCCCTTCCCCTCCATTTTCGCTTCCCCCCTCCCCTCCGTTTCGATCACTTCCCCCCTTCCCCTCCGTTTCGCTTCCCCCATCCTCTCCGTTTCGACCGCCCCCCCCCTTCCCCCCCCTCCCCTCCGTTTCGCTTCCCCCCTCCCCTCCATTTTGATTCCCTCCCCCATTTCCCCGTCAGTTTCGATTCCCCCTCTCCTCAGTTTCGATTTCCGTGGCAGTGCGATTTTACCCCCTCGGTTTTTAGGAATGACTTCCCCGTTTCCCACATTTAACAACTACGCAAAACGAGGGTATGACAAGGTTGCTGGTTGGGGGGGGCGCGGGCTGTGGGAGGATTTTAATGCTGCAAGGAACTTAGCCGATTTTTTTGGAGGTGTAGGAGGGAGGGATGTTTCTCGCTGTAGGGGTGTTTCCCGTGTGTGATTCTGGTTGTACGTCCAAGACCCTGAAAAAATCAGACTCGCTGAGTTCTGGACCCTGACATTTCAGACTACAAAAATTTCGGCTGAAGGCCCTTCAGACTATTTTTTTTTGGGGGGGGATTGGCTCAGAGTGCCTTTTTTTGAAACGTCAGCCCTGATCGCAAATAGCCTAAAAGTTGGAGTCCCCTATATCCAAATTAGAGAATAGTGATAACGTCGTGAAATCACAAAATTGATCCCGCATGATGTTCCAACAAGCAATAGAAATTGGTATTGGAAGATGTTATTTGTCTTGCGGCTGGAACAGACAGCGCGTGCTACACGACCTGCACAAAACACCAGTAAATCATAGAAACACAACATACGTTCAAAAGTGGACCACATCATTTGTTTATATGCACTCATGGTGTTAGATATTGCGTTTGGGATTTTATGTTTGACACGTAAGTACTACATGGGATGGAAGAGAGGAGGAGAATAACAGAAGGGGAGGGAGAAAAAGGGCAGTAAGGAGAAAATTATAGACTGAAATTGTGGGGACGCTGGCGATGACCTACGTGGTACCTAGGAATGAATGAAGGGATGGAAAGAGGAGCACGAGGGGTTAAAAAGAGGGGGATACGCAAAAAAAGAATATGTGGCATGAGCAAAATGCCATAGCAGACGGCGCCAGAACGCTCGTCACCAGCACAGACCGGGCCACCGCGGGCAACGCCAGCTCGCACGGCATGGCATGCAATCAGGGCTTATGTTATCAGGGCATTTGCCCTGACTTGACTGAAATTCTAAGGTAGTTCTCAGACCAGCCCTGATTTCCTCCGGGCTGTTTTTTACCAAGCCCTGACAGAATCCGGGAAGATCGTCAGGCCACCCTGGAAACTCCGAGAAGATTTTCAGGTAACCCTGATTTTTCCACTACTTGCACCCTCACTCCCCCGGCGCCCCTCCCTCCCCTCACCCCTTATCTCGCACACTCCTAATACCCGTCACTCTTCTAGGACCTGCCTACCAGGCAACTTGTTGGGAAGGAGTACTCCCCTCATACCCCTAGAACTGACGCGAATCCAATGTGACGCAGAGCCTGGAACAACCTCAAGTAAAATCCGTGGAAATGTGCGCTCGCCGAGCATTTTTCTGGCTGGCCCTGAAAAAACAGAGCAGTATAGCTTCGGACCCTGGGTTTTCAGGGTGAATTTTGAAGGGAGCTCTGAGCGTCAGAGCTGTTCAAAAACCAAACATAAGCCCTGCATGCAATGCCCATACATGCATACAGCCAGAACGTTATGCACATACACGCATACAACTAGGCATGCTATGCCCATACACACATACAGCCAGGCATTCTATGCCCATACAAGCATACAGCCATGCATGCTATACCCATACATGCATATAATACAACTAGGTATGCTCTGCCCATACACACACACAGCCAAGCATTCTATGCCCATACACACATACAGCTAGGAATGCCATCCCCATACACACACACAGCAAGGCATACCATGCCCATACACACACACAGCCAGGAATGCTATGCCCATATACAAATACAGTCAGGCATGCCATACCCATACACATACAGCTTGGCATGCTATGCCCATGCACACATACAGCTTGGCATGCGATGCCCATACATGCGTACAGCCAGGCACGTTATGCACATACACGCATACAACTAGGCATGCTTTGCCCATACACACATACAGCCAAGCATGCTATGCCCATACATGCATACAGCATGCATGCTATGCCCATACATTCTTACAACTAGGTATGCTATGCCCATACACACATACAGCCAGGCATGCTATGCCCATACACTCATACAGCTAGGCATGCCATCCCCATACACACATACAGCGAGGCATACCATGCCCATACACACATACAGCCAGGCATGCTATGCCCAAACATACATACAGCCTGGCATGCTATGCCCATACACGCATACAGCCAGGCACGTTATGCACATACACGCATACAACTAGGCATGCTATGCCCATACACACATACAGCCAGGCATTCTATGCCCATACATGCATACAGCCATGTATGCTATGCCCATACACATACAGGCAGGCATACCATGCCCATACACACACACAGCCAAGCATGGTATGCCCATATACACATACAGTCAGGCATGCCATGCCCATACACACACACAGCCACGCATGCTATGCCCATACACACATAAAGCCTGGCACGTTATGCCCATACATGCATACAGCCAGGCACGTTATGCACATACACGCATACAACTAGGCATGCTATGCCCATACACACATACAACCAGGCATACCATGCCCATACACACATACAGCCTCGCATGCTATGCCCATACATGCGTACAGCCAAGCACGTTTTGCACATACACGCATACAACTAGGCATGCTATGCCCATACACACATACAGCCAAGCATGCTATGCCCATACATGCATACAGCCATCCATGCTATGCCCATACATGCATACAATACAACTAGGTATGCCATGCCCATACACACATACAGCCAGGCATGCTATGCCCTTACACACATACAGCCAGGCATGCGATGCCCACATACAGATACAGTCAGGCATACCATGCCCATACACACACACAGCTAGGCATGCTATGCCCATATACACATACAGCCCTGCATGCTATGCCCATACATGCATACAGCCATGCATGCTATGCCCATACATGCATACAACAAGGTATGCTATGCCCATACACACATACAGCTACGCACGCCATCCCCATAAACACATACAGCCAGGCATACCATGCCCATACATGCATACAGACATGCATGCTACTGTATGCCCATACATGCATACAACTAGGTATGCAATGCCCATACACACATACAGCTA